CCCGGAAGAGCGTGGGGTCTCGCACACCAGGCTTCTCCTGCCCCCAACTCAGAGCGTCGTCCTCCACCGGACCCCGGAGGGGTCTCCTGTGTCGTTACAGCGCACTGTCCTCTCCTAGAACCACAAGATGCTTCCGGTACCCGAGGGGGCTTACGGGAACTTTTTTGAGGAGCACTGCTATGTCGTCCTCCACGTGAGTTGCTTGGGGAAGGCGGCCTGAGAGGGGTGACATGGCCCAGCACTGGGGAAACTGGGGCACAGACATACCTCTGCCCTAGGAAGCGGCAAGCTGGGAGCCCGAGAATCACATCCCACAAGGGGGCCGCTGCCGTAGAGGTTCCTTGGCCCTTCCCTCCCGCTTCCTGATGCCCGCGGAAGCCCCCGCCCCACGCCTCCCCGTGGCCCTTGGTCCAACCTCCCCTTCTCCGCCCGCACCTTCGCCTCCCCTGCAACACATGTACACAAACACCCGGACCCTGTCCCCCAGAGCCTGAAGGCCACACAGGGGGCGTCCAGCGACCTGCACTACTGGGTCGGGAAGGAGGCGGGCGCGGAGGCGCAGGGCGCCGCGGCCACCTTCGTGCAGCAGCTGCAGGAGGAGCGGGGGACCCTGACCGTGCTGCACCGCGAGGCGCAGGCCCACGAGTCCGACTGCTTCCGCAGCTACTTCCGCCCGGGAATCATGTGAGTGCGGGCCGGAGCCGTGGAGTCGGTGCCTCGGCGGGCGCCGTCTTGGGAGGGCCGACGTCCGCATCCCCTGAATGGGGAACGCCGGGAGGGAGGGGTTCGCTAACACGTTCGAGATGCAGCTCATGCGCCACGCCACTCACCCATTTAAAGTACACATACCTGGGCCGGGCGCGGTGGCTCAAGCCTGTAATCCCAGCACTTTGGGAGGCCCAGGCGGGCGGATCACGAGGTCAAGAGATCGAGACCATCCTGGTCAACATGGTGAAACCCCGTCTCTACTAAAAATACAAAAAATTAGCTGGGCATGGTGGCGCATGCCTGTAATCCCAGCTGCTGGGGAGGCTGAGGCAGGAGAATTGCCTGAACCCAGGAGGCGGAGGTTGCGGTGAGCCGAGATCGTGCCATTGCACTCCAGCCTGGGTAACAAGAGCGAAACTCCGTCTCAAAAAAAAAAAAAAAAAAAAAAGTACACATACCTGTCAGGGATTTTTAACAGACGTGTGCAGCCATCACCACCGTCAACTTTGCAACATTTACATCACCCCGGAAAGAAGCCCCACACCCCTTTGCAGTCACTCCTCATTTCCCTCCAGCACCCCCATCCTCTGCCCTCGGCAACCACTCATCTAATTCCTGTTTATTCCTGTTTATCCATTTGTCTCTTCCGGGCGTGTCATAGACGTGGAATCATTCAACAAGTGCTCTTCCCCGACGGGCTCTTTTTGCTCAGCGCACTGTCTTCAGGTTTATCCACGTTGTGGTGTGTGTTATTCTTTGTATTGCCGAGTAATATTGCATGTTATTAAGATACCACATTTTATTACTTCGTCACTGAATGGACATTTGGGTTGTTACCACTTTGGGGCTGTTATGAATCTGTTTATGAACATTTGTATACAAGCTTATGTTTTCATTTCCCTTGGTATATACCCAGGAGCAGACACCAGTGTTGTTTTGAGTTTGCTTTTATGTTACAGTGCTGGTAGGAATATGTTTCGATGTAAATTGCTTCACAGGTTTTTTAAATTAGCACTTGCAGTACATTTGGACATACAGGAAATTGCTCTTATTTGATCATTTTCATTTCATAGAGTTGAACCTAATCCATGCATATAGTATATATATGAACGCATGCACACAGGCATATGTGCAGATACAGAAGCACATACCAACCCCATGTATGTCCACCTGTAGATGGACATGTGTGAATATCCATAGTGACCTACACACACACATGCTGTTGCCCACTTTTTTTTTTTTTTTTTTTTTTTGAGATGGAGTCTTCCACCGTCACCCAGGCTGCAGTGCAGTGGTGTGATCTTGGCTCACTGCAACCTCTGCCTCCTGGGTTCAAGTGATTCTCCAGCCTCAGCCTCCTGAGTAGCTGGGATTATAGTCACCCACGACCACACCCAGCTAGTTTTTTGTACTTTTAGTAAAGACGAGGTTTTACTATGTTGGCCAGACTGGTCTCAAACTCCTGACCTCCAGTGATCAGCCGCCTTGGCCACCCAAAGTGCTGGGATTACAGGCATGAGCCACCGCGCCCGGATTGTTGCCCACTTCCTTACACTCACATCTAGACTTACAGGGATAAACAAATATATACTATGCCCCAAATGTATGTACATGTACATGTATATGCATGTGTCCCATGACTACACATGGAAACATGCACACTCATGTCCTGTGTTCACCCATGGGCTTATACATACATGTGTTCACACAGACTCCAATGTGTTAAGCAGGAGCATACGTGCATGTGCTCACATCTGCAGTCATTCGTGTACATGGCAATCTGTGTTCTTACGTGATACCCTCCTGCTATTCCGTCCTCAGCTACAGGAAGGGAGGTCTGCCGTCTGACCTCAAGCATGTGGAGACCAACATGTTCAACATCCAGCGACTGCTGCACATCAAAGGGAGGAAACACATGTCTGCCACTGAGGTAAGGCTGCTGCCAGGGGAGCCTCTTGACCTCTGGACTAGGCTCAGACTGGGTGTGCTGAGATATAAGGAAGCTGGAAATTGGCTGGGGGTGTCAGCCAAGGAGGACAAGGAGCTGTCAGCATTCCCAGATGGTCTTGAACCAGAACAGAGAGGATACCAGGCTTCTAGCCCCACTTTTGCCACTGCTGCCCAGACCTTTTGTTTCTGCATCTGTCTCACGGACATATTAAGAACTTGGGCACAGATACTTGGGAGGCTGAGGCAGGAGGATCACTTGAGCCCAGGAGTTTGAGGCTGTAGTGATTCATGATGACACCACTGTACTGCAGCAGCTTGGGTGACAGAGAAAGACCCTGTCTCTAAAAAGACCTTGGGCAGATGGGGCAGACGATATGGCACCAATGAATGGTCCTTGTTAGCAGCACAGCGAGAGGCAGCGCACAACTCGGGGGGAGGGCATAACCTCACACACTGTCATTACCACCCGTACGCACACATTGTCCCCGCTGTTATCCCTGGGTGCACCTCCGGTCCATGTAGTGCATATAGTGCCCTTGTACAAATCGGAACACAGCACCCCTTTCTTCCATCTGTCAGGAAATTAAAGAAAAATACTGGTTTTGTTAGAACAAAACATTTTGCTGCCATCTGGCCAGAATTTGGTGTCATGAAAATTCAGTTGTACAACGTCTACAGTGTGATGGGAATGCCTGAGGTATGCAAGTGGGTCTGCACGGGCAGCCCTGTGACACACATAATCCCACATAGGCTCTGCATTGTCACCCACAGACCCAATGACCATACATCCCGGGGCATTGGGGGACACCGTGAAGCTCCATGTTTCTCCTATTATCCTGGCATCATAATCGAAAGTACTGCCTTTCACTCACAAAAGTGTCTCTATTTGGAGACTATCATTATCCATAGGTAAACACTGTCACCATGAGCACACACACTTGTTCACATGTGATCTCCCCACATACATACATGCATATATGCAAACACAAAAGATAAACAGATGCACCCTACCTGTATACATGTGTACACATGGAGCTACAGACATGCATTGAGAAGTGTCATAAGTCACGTATACCCTGTGAAATGCAGCATTGCCTAGTCACACATGCCTACGTACACCCAGATGCATACAACTTCATGCACCAGGTGACACATCCCAGCCGTGCTTCCGTCTAGCAGATGCTGGTGGTGTGATGCCCTGTCCCCCTCCCTGCTCCTGGCTCTGGTAGGTGGAGCTCTCCTGGAACAGCTTCAATAAGGGTGACATCTTCCTGCTGGACCTAGGCAAGATGATGATTCAGTGGAATGGGCCCAAGACCAGCATTTCTGAGAAGGCTCGGGTTAGTGTCTGCCCAAGGAACTGAGAGTACGGGGTTTGTCGGGGAATGGTCCTCCAAGTGCCCATCCTCCAGCCACCCCAAGAGTTGGGCGTGGCTATCTGCCACAACCCAAGAAATGCCTATGAGGTCCAAGCTGAGTTCAGACCCTGCACTGTTGGTGTCCTCTGGATGCTACGATGAGGGAGCACCAGCCATTCTCCCCACCAGCCTCTGGGAGCTGAGCAGTGACAGGAGAAGTCTGTGCTGTGAGGGGGCACACGGGTGACACCCTGACTGCCAGGTCCTCTCCCGCAGGGGCTGGCCTTAACCTACAGCATCCGGGACAGGGAACGTGGTGGTCGTGCACAGATTGGCGTGGTAGATGATGAGGTCAAAGCCCCAGACCTCATGCAGATCATGGAGTCTGTGCTGGGCCGCAGGGTGGGCAGCCTGCGTGCCGCCATGCCCAACAAGGATATCAACCAGCTGCAGAAGGCCAATATTCGCCTGTACCAGTGAGCACACTTGGGGTGGGCAGCGTGGGTGGGGCAGTCCAGGACTCTGTGTCCATCACTACTGCAGTAACACAGCACCTCTACAAAGCCCTCCAGAAAAGGCTGCTGGGTTTCTGGAACAGGTCACGTGGACTGTGGGCCCAGCCTGTACTCCTTTCTTTTTTTTTTTTTTTTGAGATGGAGTCTCGCAATGTCACCAGGCTGTAGTGCAGTGGCACGATCTCGGCTCCAGCCCATACTCTTACATGGTGTGTGGCTGCCTCGCTGAGAAACCTGTTGTACTGACAGAGGGACTATGGCGCTCTGCCAGGGCCAGGGAACTGCCTAAAGCTCCACAGCAGGCTGCAGTAAAATCAATACTACAACTCAGGGCTCTAGCCCCCATGCCTTTTGTCTCTGGGGGGCTGGGCTGGGGTGGAGCCAGGTCAGGGAGTGGCTGGGCTGGCCACACCTGGGTTCCTGTCCTCCTAGTATCTATGAGAAGGGCAAAGACCTGGTGGTCCTGGAGTTGGCGACCCCCCCACTGACCCAGGATCTGCTGCAGGAGGAGGTGAGGAAGGCCTGGCCCCAGTCACTCGCACCCTTCCCCACCCACTGGGACCACCTACTGACCAGCCTCACCCTTGCTCCCAGGACTTCTACATCCTGGACCAGGGAGGCTTCAAGATCTATGTGTGGCAGGGAGGCCTGTCTAGCCTCCAGGAGAGAAAGGCTGCCTTCAGCCGGGCTGCGGTGAGCCCTGGGGCCCAGTCTGAGAGCAACAGAGCACTGCCCTGGGGTCTTCGTGTGGAGGCAGCACTGGCCCGGATCTAAGGAGGAATCAACCCTACCCTGGAGTTAGACTTGGGAAACATCCTATGCCGGAGTCTTAAAGGGGTGGTAGCCCCGCCCTGTGAGCCCTGAGAGTGAAGAAACCATGTGTAAAAGGGGCACGTGGCCCTGTCTTCAGGTCCTGGGGCACCTACTGACTGGGCGGCCCCGCTTTCTCAGGGTGGGACTGGGTGGGAAGACAGGGCTCTGCCTGGGGTCCGTGAGGGTTGACTTGGCCTGTCCTGTCTGAGGCCTGGACCAAGGGGACCCTGCCTGCCCTCAGGGACTTCAGAGAAGTCGGTGGTGACAGAGTCAGTTCGTTAAGTGGGTCATGGGCTCGGTTAATTAACGCTTCTCAGAGCTTGGCTGTCCCAGGGGGTAGGTCCCTGGGGGGTGGGAGTGGAACAGTGGACTCGGTCGCAGGACTGACGGTGCCTTCCGCCCCAGGGCTTCATCCAGGCCAAGGGCTACCCGACCTACACCAACGTGGAGGTGGTGAACGACGGCGCCGAGTCGGCCGCGTTCAAGCAGCTCTTCCGGATTTGGACTGAGAAGCGGAGCAGGAACCGGCGGCTCGGCAGGATCGGTGAGTGGGCGGAGCGAGCCGGAGGGGGCGGGGCCTGGCAGGAAACTGCAGCTCGGTGGGACGGGTGAGTGGGTGGAGTGAGATGAAGGGGGCGGGGCCTGGCAGGAACTTGCAGCTTGGTGGGACGGGTGAGGGGCGGAGTGAGCTGGAGGGGGCGGGGCCTGGCAGGAAACGGCTGCTCCGAGGGATGGGTAAGTGGGCGGGGCGGGGCCCGAGGGGGTGGGACAGAACCTTCTTGGGTTGGGGAAAAGGGGCGTGGCCAGCCGAGGACGGAGCAGGGCCTGGAATCTTACTGGATGGTTGAGAAGTAGGCGGGGCGGGGATGGTGTGGGAAGGGATGGGGCAGAAGGCGCAACTAACACCTGCTGCCCCACCTTCAGATAAACTGATTCATGTAAAGCTGGACGTGGGCAAGCTGCACAGCCAGCCTGAGTTAGCCGCCCAGCTCAGGATGGTGGACGACGGCTCTGGGAAGGTGGAGGTGAGGGGCAATGGCTTAGCTGGGGGAAGATGGGGACATGGAGGTAAGCTTTGCCTACATGTGAACGGTATCACTGCTATCTAAAGTGACTCAGCTGCACATCCACACACAATCAGGGACACCAAAGGACACGTACATTTACACACTCTCCTAACAGGCGTTCATACACAGCAACAGGCACTTACACAACAGACACACAGCACAGTAACACTTGGACACTTAAATTCGCCCTATGGTCACATGTGGGACAAAATGAAACATACTGTCATACAGACACACATACACCTTGTAATTGCACATAATCACAGTCACACAATCATAGCCAAGTACACAACTGCAAACATGTAGCTGCAAAAACTCTACATCAGAAATGACCACAGTCACACAACCATCAACCACCCACAGACACACCAAATCACACATGATCACACATAATCACAGCTCCACACACCCAACCCCAGCTCACAGCCATACACTGTCAACCACTCATCCCGTCCCAGCCCAGTGTTCTGCGAGAGGCAAGGGTTGAGGGCCACTTCCAGGCTCTGTATAGGGTGGGGTTGCATCTTGACTTGTTGGCTGACCCCCTAGCAGAGCCCTGAATTTTTTAGGTCCTAGTTTTTAAATAAAATGGGGGCAGAAACCGTTGTCCTATCTGGCCCCAAGGCTGATATGGGGATGCTGTGAAATTGTGGGAACAGAACTGCTGGGCCTGTGTGAGGGCTCCCAGTTCTCGAGGTAGGTGGAGGTCAGAGAAAATAGCAAGGTTTCCTTTTTCCTTTGCTCTAATATGGGTGGACAGAAGCAATGAGTGAAGAGACTGAGAGAAGAGGAAATGCAACAAGGGAGAGGGGTGGGGAGCAGGGAAAGAGGAAGACAGAGAAGGGACCACAAAGAGAGACAGAGAGAAGCAAAGACTGGGAAGGACAGGGATACGAAGGAGACAGAGGGAAGGGAGGAGGAGCTGGGTGGAGGAAGAGCAGAGAGCAGTGAGGTACAGGAGAGGAGGAGCAGTCAGGGAGAGATGGGATAGACACAGAGAAGGAGAGCCAGATAGGGAGGGGAGACGGAGACAGGAAAGAAGACAGGAGGGTGAGGGAGAGGGAAAGAGAACTCCGGGACTCAGGCGCCAAGCAGAGAGTCAGGAAGGGGATCCTCCTGGCAGGCAGTGGACAGGCAGGCAGAGAGAGGGCCTGAGCCAGGGGGCCTGGCTGCCCGGTAAGTGCCACTCTTAGGCAGCCTGTGATAGAGTCAGCCCCTTTTGTGAAAGGCAGCATTCTGGCTGCTCTGGTCTGGAGGGCAGCTCCCCAGGGACAACTGCCAGGGTCTGGAGGGGGGAAGGACACCCAGGCATTGTCTCCTGCTGTGCAGAGGTGAAGTAAGGGAGGTGTCACCATCCCCAGTATACAGGTGGGAAAGGCCCAAAGCTTGGAACAATGTCACTGCCAACACAGGGCCGACCTGGGATGTGACCAGAGCCTGCCTGGCTCCAGGCTCGGCCACCCACAGGAAGAAGAAACCACACTGACCGATGTGAGGCGGTGTTTTCCCTTCGGTCTTTGAACAGGCTTTGTGTTTTCTAAATGACACTTGAAAAAGGGAACTCGTTCAAGAGCTCCAAGACTTCCCTTTCCGCCCGGCTTCTGTTATCCTGGCCTGAGCAGCGAGCAGCTGTGAGGGGACCCAACTGCCTCTACCAAGGGCTGTGGCTGGTGGGGTCGGGACTACGGCTGGGCATGTGGCTGGGATCGGTTCCATCATCTCCCACGTGTGGTGGGTTTCAGGAGTCCATGGAGAAAGGGTCACCTGCAGATCCTTGCACATGCCCAGCCCAAAGCCTGAAATGGGCCTGGAGCTGAGGGTGGGCCTCGGAGGCTGGGGAGAGCTTTCCAGCTAGGTGCAGGATGGGTGGGCTGCTTCAGGGAGATCAGCCACCTGTGCCCATTGGTGCCCTATTCCCCAGGTGTGGTGCATGCAGGACTTACGCAGGCAGCCCGTGGACCCCAAGCATCATGGACAGTTGTGTGCAGGCAACTGCTACCTAGTGCTCTACACATACCAGAGGATGGGCCGTGTCCAGTACCTCCTGTACCTATGGCAGGTGCGCCAGCCTGAAGGAGGCGGCACTCACCTTAAAGCCCAAGGGCTGGGCTCTGAGAGTGAGATGGGAGAGCTGGGCCAGGCCCTCACTGCCCTACCTGCAGGGCCACCAGGCCACCGCAGACGAGATCGAGGCCCTGAACAGCAACGCTGAGGAGCTAGACACCATGTACTGTGGCGCCCTAGTGCAGGAGCACGTGACCATGGGGAGCGAGCCCCCCCACTTCCTTGCCATCTTCCAGGGCCAGCTGGTGGTCTTCCAGGTAGGGCTCACCTCGCCACTGCAGCCTGCCTGCCTCTCCGTGGGCTGTGGCCCCTGCACATGCTCCTCGGCACCTTCCTTTGGGCCCGGGACCTGCTTCTCCCTGGTTTCCTGGAGCTTGTCCAAGCTTGTCCCAGGAGCTCCAAGGTTAGCCCTGCCTGAGTTTCTCTCCCCAGTCCCAGAGCCAGATGAGGAAGTTGAGTTGAAAGGGAGCCAGGGGCTTGCCTTGGGTCACACACTGGCAAAACTGGTCCCCACTTTCCACCTCCAAGGCCTGAGCACCCATGCCCTGACCCCTCAGAGATGGGGTGAAGGGTCCATTTAGAAAGGGCTGGTCCTTATCCCAGACTGAGGGGATTCCTGCCCGCCACACCCAGAGGATCCCATACTCCTCAGATGACGTCACCAGTGAGGGCCTTGGTGGTTTCAAGCAAGGGTCCCTGAGTCCTGAGGCAATATGTCCCACAGTGGGACAGGAAGGGGTCCCTGGGAGCCCTTGCCCCAGCCTGAGGCCCTACTCTTCCATAGGAGAGAGCTGGGCACTATGGAAGGGGGAAGTCAGCGCCCACCACGAGGCTTTTCCACGTGCAAGGCACCGACAGCTACAGCACCAGGACTGTGGAGGTGCCAGCTCGTGCCTCCTCCCTCAACTCCAATGACATCTTCTTGCTGGTCATAGCTGGCGTCTGCTACCTCTGGTTTGGGAAGGTACCCACAGCACTGACGACTTGACTCATGCCCAGAGGTGGTGGTGCCAGGCGGGGGGGTGGTCCTCTCCACGGCGGATGCAGACTTTGAGTCCAGCCTCAGATAGATCAATGGGGGAAACGGGGAGGAGAAGACATAGTGTCCCCTCTGGAACTCAGGGAAAATTACAAAGTGACAGGCAGAGCCAGGTCCTCCCCTCCTTACTCCCTGGAGCACGGGGCATGTTACTTCCCAGGTCTCTTGGGAAAAGGGGAGGCCTATGTCAGTTTGCTGGAGTTTTCTCTAATTTTCAGCATAAACTATAACTGACCCTCTAAGCCTGGAGGCCTCCCATCCCATGCTGTGGACCCCCCGGGACAGTCCCAGACCCTGTGATCCAGATGAGCTAGGGACACAGGCCTGGAGGGTGAGGAGATGCATGTTCACTGGTGCCCTGCTGCCAGCTTAGGCCTCCTGTAACTTGGGCCTGGTACCCCCCCATACACCCTGTGAATGGGATATGGGGCTGGAGGTGAGACCCCTCCTCATGTAGGGCCTGAGCCATGTCTTTGCCTGCTAGGGCTGTAACGGTGATCAGCGTGAGATGGCGCGGGTGGCGGTCACTGTCATTTCCAAGAAGAACGAGGAAACGGTGCTGGAGGGTCAGGAGCCGCCCCACTTCTGGGAGGCCCTGGGAGGCCGGGCCCCCTACCCCAGCAACAAGAGGTAAAAGGGTTGGCAGGAGAGTGTTCTTACCCAGAGGAGGAACTGAGAGGCTCAGAGAGGATGGGTGACTGGGGTTCACACACACAGCTGGAGAGACAAGACTAGGACGGAGGCCCCTCAGCTTCCCCCTCACAGAGGATACCAGGAGCACAGCCCACCCTTCACGCCCAGGCCTGAGTCACTTGGGTCTGGAAGATGCTGGGGCGGGTGGGGAAGTGGCGCCCTCTGCTGGCAGCATCCCCTCCCTGCACAGTCTTGGTCCTGGGCCAGGAGACAAAGCACGTCCCCACCCTACAGTCCCCAGCGGTCACGGTGCCCGGTGTGCGCGTCTACGGTGTCATAGGACGTGTGGGTATACAGTGCGTGTGGGGGTGCAAGAACAGGTGTATTCGGGGTGTCGTGTGTCTGCTGGGTAAGCAGACAGGGTCTGTGTAGGAGGTAGGAGTAAGGCCTCAAGGGGAGGAGGGAGCCGAGTCCACGTCGCTCTTGGCCCGTCTGTGGGGCTTGGTTTATGCACTGCCCTGCCCCCAGCTCTCCTGAGCTCGGCACTCCTGTCTCCCAGCCTGCCTTTCCTCCTTCCACCTTGGGCTGGAAACCTGATCTCTGCCAGGGGTAGGCCGAGGAGCTCCCATCCCAGGGAGGCGAGACTGCAGCTCAGGCCCTCCCCTTCCCCTGCAGCCCTCTCCTAGGAAATTCATGGGCAGCTTGCATCACAGCTGGGCGGGCGAGAGCTTTCTCCGTGAGCAGAGAGGGACCCTGTGCCCAGAGCAGAGTGCTCCAGGAGTGGAATGGTGGGGCTCCAGGAGGGCCCAGGCCTCCCACTCCCGAGAAGTGGCTTCCAGCCCCTGGGCTGGGGCACGTGTGCCACAGGCTGGTGTGGCCCTCTGCGTGGCTCACAGCCTTGCTGTCCTTGCTGGCCAGACTCCCTGAGGAGGTCCCCAGTGTCCAGCCACGACTGTTTGAGTGCTCCAGCCAGATGGGCTGCCTTGTCCTTGCAGAAGTGGTGTTCTTTAGCCAGGAGGACCTGGGCCAGTATGACGTCATGTTACTGGACACCTGGCAGGAGGTAAGGTGGCCACCCCTGCCTGGTGGGGCTGTGAACGGGGGTGTGTCAGTTTGTGTAACTGGGTGTGTATGTAGCCTTCTGACTGTACAAAGGGCTTTGGGTGAGTCTGGGTGGGTCTCGCTACAGTGCCTGTGAGACCACGAGTGAGGGGTCATCAGGTGGCGGCAGCGAGCCTGCGGGAGACAGGTGTGCGGGGACTCGGGTAACTGTGCTTGCGTCGTGTGTGGCTCCACACACGTGACAGCGCCCGTGGCCACGCGTGTGTCGATGCTGCAGGTGACTGAGTGGAACTCCAGTGTGTGGCTTGGTATGAGCGTTTGCCTTTGTGCACTTGTGACACTTTGTCGTGACTGTAAGGTCACGTGACGCTAGAACTGGCCAGACCAGTGGCAACTGGTGAGCGTGCGTGAGACTGTAACCAGCTGTGGCTGAGTGATGGAAGGCTGTTTGTGGGGCTGTGCAAACAGTGCTGTTGTGTTTGTGTGCAGCTGTGTCTGACAACAGTGGCTGACAGTGTGTGGCAGTGGATGAGTGTGTCCCCAGCACTGTTTGAATTGGTGATGAAGCTGTGTGCTCCCATCTCACTAAGAACAAACCCAGAGCCCTTACCCCAGCCCTGCATGACCTGGCCAGCCCCAACTCTTTGACCCCCTTTCCTCCCCCTCCCTGCTTCCGCGGCAGCCACAGCAGCCTCCTTGTGTTCCCTGAATGTGCCAGGCACGCGGCCACCTCGGGGCTTTTACACTGGTGGTTTCTTCTAGTTAGGACACCTTTCCCCAGGCATCCATCCGATTTGCTCCCTCACGAAAGCTCTAGAAGGGCAGGGATTTTTGTCCTTTTTTTTTCCATTGTTGACTCCCCAAAACCTAGACCGATGCTCGGCATACAGCAGGTGCTTTATAAATATTTGTGGATTGATCTCCAGGTAAATCACACAAGAAAAGTTTGCGGATTGAATGTGTGCATGCATGCATTCCCGTGACCGTCTCGTGTGTTCAACATGTGGGTGGGGCCACTTGCTGGGTGGGTCTGGATGGACAGGGATGTGTATGTGGGGTTCTGTCTAGGACGTCTGATGGACAGGGAGGGGTCAGCTCTGGGCAGCCCTCCATGCCAAAAGTCAGGCCCCCTCTGTGGCCCAGATCTTCCTGTGGCTTGGGGGAGCTGCAGGTGCATGGAAGAAGGCGGTGGCCTGGGGCCAGGAGTACCTGAAGGCACACCCAGCAGGGAGGAGCCTGGCCACACCCATCGTGCTGGTCAAGCAGGGCCATGAGCCTCCCACCTTCACGGGCTGGTTCTTCACTTGGGACCCCTACAAGTGGACTGTGAGTGAGACCTGAAAACCCTAGCCCTACTCTAATATGAGGGGAGAGGGGCCGGACCTGGGCTGGGGGAAGGAGGCGGCACTGCTCGGGCTGGGGCTTGCCAGTGTGTGCGAGAGACCTGGTCTTGTCCTCAGGCCCCTCCTGAGTCCCACTGGTGCCCCCTCCTCCTGCCCTGATACTTGCCCCCATTCTTGCTCTAGCCCGACCCGTCCAACAAGGAAGTGGTGGAGGGCAGCCCGGGAACAGCATCGCTCATCTCTGAGATAACAGCAGTGAGTCCTGGGGCCCTAGGCTTCCCCGCAGGGGCCTGGGCGCTGACGGCATGGTCCTGATGGGCAGGGGAAGTGCTAGGCCCTGGTAGGTGGGAGGGGCTGCGGGGGGGAGGGGAGAGGCCTGTGGGTTCAGTGCAGCCTCCCTGTGGGCTACCGAGTCCCCATCTTCCCCAGCCTGAGACTCCTCTCTGGACAGGAAGTCAACAGCTTCCAGCTATCCAGAGGGCCAGGCAATGGCAGAGCAGGTGCCATGGCCCTTCAGGCCCTCAAGGGCTCCCAGGACGGCTCAGGGAATGAGCTGATTCGGGGCCCCAAGTCGGGTGGCGTCAGCAGCACCAGCGCCTCGATCAACGGGGCCCTGCCCCGGGAGCAACTGATGCACCAGGCCGCTGAGGACCTGCCAGAGGGCGTCGACCCTGCCCGCAGGGAGGTGGGCACCTGAGACCCCTGCCCCTCACTGCCCCAGCACTGGTGCATCTGCCACTGAGCTGGAGGAGCCTGAGGCAGGAACCCCTGGTGGTCGGCAGCTGCCGTGGTGACGCCCTCCCCTCTACCTCCCCCAGTTCTATCTCTCAGACTCTGACTTCCAAGATATCTTTGGGAAATCCAAGGAGGAATTCTACAACATGGCCACGTGGAGACAGCGGCAGGAGAAAAAGCAGCTGGGCTTCTTCTGAGCCCAGGACCCCACCCCAACATACCTACGATGCTGGAGACGCCCTGCTCCCACGCCCCTCAGAGGCTCTGCTCATCCTCTGCTTGTCAGTAAAAGCGGGCCGTCCATACAGGCTGTGGTATGTGTTTTTTCCAGCCGGGGCCACTCAGCAGGTCTATGTCTCAGGGAAAGGCGCCTCCAGGGCTGGCAGGGGTAAGCTCTCAGTGCCACCCTCCAGAGGGATTTGTTTCTCGCTGGTGTCTCAGATACCCCCTACCCCACTCAAGTGTGTACAAGCATGGTAGACAGTGAGGTGCTGGGGCTCCAGCACTCAAGAACATGGCGGGGCACAGACATGCACACTTCACAGGGGATTTTCTGGCATCCAGGTAAAGAGACCACAAGGCTTAATCTCATCGTGATTTTTATAAAAACCCTGGACCATGGGCTGGCCGGAGGGTGGGAAGGCTGCAGTGTTGTCCCTACCGGAATGAAGGACAGCTCCCAGTCCCCAGGGAGGCGGCAGCACACACTATGTTAGAGCTGAAGGCAGTTTGGGGGCCTAGCTCCGAGCAAGAGGCTGGGAGGAGCCAGCCCTGGCCCTCGTGTGGACCCCACTGGCTTCCCCCAGTCTAGTCCTGGAGGGAGATCTTCACAAAGAGAGTGGCTGACGGATGCTGGTCCCCGTTCTTAGACAAGAGGTGGACATGACGGTATCCTGGCAGGTGGACGGGCAGGAGGGAACACCAAGTTCTGGTCACTCTGGGAGATGCTTCAAGGGACAGCCAGCCCTAGCCCAAGAGATGCCAGGCCCTACTTTCCACCACCTGGCCTTCCCCTCCTCTTGACACTCACCTTGCTTGAGGCTGTTCAAGGGGATGGTACTCTGGCCAATGAAGTCGTTCTTGGAGGAGGCGTCGTAATCCTCCACTACGAAGCGGACGAGGGCAAGGTCAGGCACAACGACCTCAAATGCAAACTCCGTGTCCCACCATGGGTTGAAACCTAGGGGAGGACAGGCACCATATCAACCGCATGGACGGCAGCCCCAGCGGCCCGGCCCGGGCCCAGCACCTACCGTTGTTGGTGATGACAGCCGTCTGGCGGCTGGCCACGTCCCGGCTCACGCCGTGGATCTCCACCGTCACCTTGGGGTCCACGATTGAATTCTTGTTCTTGTTGACTTTTGGCAGCTGCTGCCCCGAGATGACCTGAGGAAAGGCAGGGGACAATGGACAGTTCAGGAGCCATGGTGAGGGGAAGGAGGCCCATGGGCACCTGTCCCTCCTGGGTCCGGCGTACCCTGATGTTGAGCCGCTTCCGTGCCCACCAGGGCCCCTGAGCCAGGGCGCGGGGGTTGAAGGTGGCGTTAGGATCTCGCAGGAAGGCGGGCTTCAGCACGTACCCACAGGCCCCGTTGTCCTGGAAACGGCCCTGGTACACGTCCATCTCCGCCCCAGGTGTCTGGAAGTTCAGGGCCACTGCAGGCAGGACAGAGCAGTCGCAGGCTGTGGGCTGACCCTGGGGCCCTAGAGCACAGCCTGCTCGGGTACACTGAGGCCTAGGGTCACAGTGAGATACATCACGCCAATGCCTGCTGCCCTCCTGCCACCCTCAGTGACCCACCACGCCAACCACCCCTTCCCTTTCTGGTGTCGGAACTCAAAGGGCTCGTGTGCTAATGAGGTTTCAGACACTCACTTGCTGGTGGACAGGAATTTCCAGACTGACAGCAGCAGCTCCACAAGGCCCCGCACTTGACCGTGCTTGGTCCTCAGAGCTCCACTGCATGGCCTTCGAGGCTCAGGCCTCGGGACTGAAACCCTCCTCCAGCCCCGACCAGCCCATACCGATCTGGCAGCCCCCGTTCCACATCTCCACGGGGCTGTAGTTGGAGGAGTCTGTTCTCCATCCGGCCGGGTAGATTCTACTCAGGTGTTCCACGTTGTGGCGGACGAAGCTGTTTCCTGAGGGGAGCTGTGGCTCAGCCGGCAGTGGCCTCCTGGTGAGGCCGAGCCCTGCCCTGCCAGTTCTCTGGCAGAGCAGGGGAGGGGGCGAGGCCAGGCCTCACCTGATTCTTGGAGCAGTCGAAGGGCACGGTTCTCAGAGAAGGACGCCATCTCGTAGAAGGCCTGCCCAGGGGTGCCAGGACTGGAGAAGCCCCCAAAGTGGACGCTCTTGCAGTAAATGACCATGTCAGAGAGCTCCTGCGCTAGCCTGAGCTTGTCCTCCTGGGGGCCATGGGGAGGCCCGGGTTAGATTCAGAGGTTGGGGCAGGGTACGCACTGAGAAAGCCAGAAACCCAGGTGCAGAGAGACAGAGGGAGACAGACAGACAGACAGTGGGCAGAGGGTCTGAGTGACAGCCGCAGAGAACTGAGTCAAGGCAGACCTCCCAGGGGAGGGGGGAGGCCCGGCCGCCCCACCCCGCCCCGCAGCTCCCCCTCCAACCTTGGGCTTGTGCTGCACGCGGCTCCTCACCACCTCATCCTCCATCTCAGCAGCCTCGTCTTCATCTGACACCACAGGGGCCTCAGGGCCACCCTCCCCTCCAGGGGGCAGGAGTCCCCCCAGCTTCTTCCCCTTCAGCAGGATCTTCCCCTTCAGTTGCTAGGGGTGGAGGGGCAACTGGTCAAGACACACCTGTCCAGGCTCCCCGCCCTCCCCCCGGGTGCCCCCCTCACCACCACGCACCTCAGGGGAGGGCAGGCTGTTGGTGACCCCATCCAGCGGTCGGTTCAGCAGCATGGGACCCAGGATGCCGTGCAGGTGCCGGGCCATCACACGCTGCTGCTCCAGGGTGCAGTGGTTCTCCAGGGACAGGATGACGGGGTAGGGGGACGCCTGGAGGCCCAAGGGCACATTAGGAGGGCTGGCCACCCCTAGCAGCCCACTCCTCGCCGGCCAGGGGCACGCCCACCTTGAAGGCGTAGTCCCGGATGGCCCTGAGCACGTCGCAGAAGAGGATCTTGGAAGTGAAAGTGTAGCCGTGGTAGATGATGGGTTCCTGGTTGGGCCCGTCCCAGCAGTCCAGCTCCAGGCAGCGGCAGCCTTTGCACAGTGCCCTGTGGGGAGGGTGGCAGCTAGGACCCTCCAGGTCCCATTCTGGGTCCCACCCAGACTCCCGCCCCAAGGCTTCCCTGGGCAGCACCGGATGTATGCCTCAGTGCTGCTGGGCCCGGTGAGCTGGTCCTCCAGCAGGTAGGTGTTGTGCGAAGAGGACACCAGGTAGTGGCTGAGCGGCTGGCCCATGTCCTGGTAGACACGGCGGTGTGCCAGGCTGAAGGCGCTGCCGTCGGCTGACAGTAGGTACATGAGGAAGCCGTCCTTGGTCATCTGCCGCTGCGCCTTGGCTGGGAGGGAAGAGGCCACTGCCAGTCAGAGCCAGCCTCCAGCAGGCCCTCCTGGGTGCCCACCCATCTGGACGGAGGAGCCCTCTGACCCCGCTCGCCTGCCTGGCCCGAGCCGGTCTTCCAGAGCTCTTGGAATTAGGGTAAGTCTGTGGCTCAAGGCCAGACTGTGGCTACTCCAGAGTGGGGCCCTGTCTCTTCCTCCTCCCCTGTCTGCACACTCTAAGGCCCCTGAGGACAGTGTCATCTCCCCCTCTTTTGTACCCCCAGACTGGAGCTCCAGAGCAGGGCCCCCTCTTCTCTGCTCTGGTATATCTCAAAGCTGGGCCCAGAATGAACACAGAAAAGGAAGCAGGAATGGCAACTGCTTTTCAGCCGCCTCTCGTTTCCTGAAGAAGGGTCCTCAAAGCCCCCTGAAGGAGGTGCCAAGAGGCAAAGGGGACCAGAGAAGGGCAGGGATGCCGGGGTCGTGTCACTCATCTGCTGGCTCTCATGGGACAGGCAAGTGCTGAGCAGGGGCCGTGGATGGCTGAGGCTGCCCCTTCTCCCCCACTCCCTCCTTTCTGGCTGAAGTCTCCCCAGGGGTCTCCTGGGCCAGGCCCAGTGTGGCCGCCCTGCAACAACTCTCACCAGTCTCGCTGGGCTCATAGCGCTCAATGAGGGAGAGAGCCAGCGCGGGCCCCGCCGCCGCCTCCCGCTGCTGATGCCGCAGGAACGC